CATTTTGTTATGACAGTTATTAGTTTTAACAAGTCCTTTTATTTAGAGTTTGTCCCTTCGGAAGTCAGTCGTAAGTTTACGGACTTACAACGCTAAAATCCGGGCCTCGATTCCCCGCGGTGGACATAACACAAGTAGCTTATTTTCTGGTTTTGCGCTTTAAAAAAACCTTTGTTTAGTGTTTTGTCACCAAAATAACCTTATTACCAAACTGTTGAATAATAAATGGATAAGGAATATATTCCAATTTAACTATTTTAAATGTATTTTGATTCACGTGGAGTACATTTCATTCCATGGGTCTAACTGGGAGTTTAGTTCATTGACAAGTTGTTTACCATAAAAACTAGAGATGTTTTTTATTGTTGATTTTTTTTTCATTTTGTCAAATATTTTTCTTCATTGAGAAGTGTGCAAAATAGTTTGCCTGAAATCAAATAATTACACACACGGATTACGAAAACAAATTAAATAATTTACTTAAAAAGAACAACAACGTTGTTTCTTTGATAATCATAACCATCAGTTTTAATATCTCACCTAACATACCGTATTTATCTCAGGTTTTGAGAAGTTTTATGACAGGTTTCCTTTGTTTACTATCTCATGTTTACTATATGTTTTTATCATATACATATAACTCGCATTAACACATTGCTATACATTTTATTATTACATTTCAAAAAATGTCTGAGCATTCGCCTCAACAAACCTGCAGGTATAGATAGTATAACAAGCAAGGATGAACAGAATTAAAGCATATTTTTTTAGTGTACGTTGTTATTGTTTGTTATTAAGCACAACTGCACACAATGGGCTATCTTTGCTCTGCCCACCACAGGTATCGAAACCCGGTTTCAAGCGGTGTAAGTCCGCAGACATACCGCTGTGCCACTGGGGAGCTTTGGTGTAGGAGTAGATGTACATTTTAGCTGTTAGTAAAACAGCTGCACAATAAACAAAGAATATTAAAAACACTGGCTAGACTTTAAAAAGTTCATTTATATAATCATTCATTAATTGAATTAAAGCGTGTTATAAATATATGATTTTTACCTGAATTATTCACTAGCTTCTAATTAAATCACTTCGAAACTGGAGGTATGAAGACTTCAAGCATGCATTATAGAACTTTTGCTGAATGGAAATAATTATTTGAACAATCAAAAGTAATTTTTTGTGAGATAATTTTATTTTTTCATGTAGCAAAATACTTATTATACAGTTTTTTTTTAAGGTGTTCAATACACATTAACAAAATAGATAGTTTTAAAGTTGGATAATTTTGTAAATCTACTCTATTTACGTCTGTTTTCTTCATGATTGATAACAATGACATAGCCGCGGTGAAACAACACTTACCGTTGAACTTGTATATAAACAGTTTACAAATGAAATAGGGAATGACTTAACAGAAATTTAAATGCATAAGTTATAGACCAAAAGTAAATAAATTTTTTCAATTAATGATTATTTCAGGTAATATACCAATCACTGTAAGATTGGTTACTCAGGTCCCAAAACTGAAAAATACACGTGTTTTTTTACCATGTTTTTTTTAATTAAACGACATCATCACAAATATAACATGTTTTATGAATGTTAAATTAAGAATAGTTTTATTTATTTT